ACGTAGCACTCCTGACACTAACAACAATGGACCCCCTCCTGGAAGGCACACTGTGAGCCTCACAACACAAGACCAAACTAAACTCATGATAGAGAGAGTTCCTAAAGCAAAGAACAATGTAATCCTTTCATCCAGGCAATTCTCGGCACTTGATTGGCTCCACTGTCGACATACGGACACATGTCACACAGCCTCAGCTTGTAGGACTCATACAAGACAGTACGGTAGGACGGCAGTATATGGACTCATACAAGACAGTATGATGGGACGGCAGTATATGGACTCATACAAGACAGTATGATAGAACGGCAGTATATGGACTCATACAAGACAGTTTTATAGGACGGCAGTATATGGACTCATACAAGACAGTACGGTAGGACGGCAGCATATGGACTCATACAAGACAGTATGGTAGGACGGCAGTATATGGACTCATACAAGACAGTATGATAGGACGGCAGTATATGGACTCATACAAGACAGTACGGTAGGACGGCAGTATATGGACTCATACAAGACAGTACGGTAGGACGGCAGCATATGGACTCATACAAGACAGTACGGTAGGGCGGCAGCATATGGACTCATACAAGACAGTATGGTAGGACGGCAGTATATGGACTCATACAAGACAGTATGGTAGGACGGCAGCATATGGACTCATACAAGACAGTATGGTAGGACGGCAGTATATGGACTCATACAAGACAGTATGGTAGGACGGCAGTATATGGACTCATACAAGACAGTATGATGGGACGATTGTAGGAAAAAAGTCACAGGAAATAAAGTCACAGAAAACAACTAATAAACTAGCCAATATACCCAGCGCAGCCCGGGAATTTCTCCCGATCCCATTGGTATCCCGATCCCTCTGGATCCTAATTCAGTTGGGATCCTGATCCCGTCGGTATTCCGCTCCCGGTGGTATCCCAATCCTTGTGCATTCTCAGTTTCGGTATCCCGAGCCAATTAGGATTCCATTCCTATTGGGATACTGACCCCACTAGGATACCAATCCGATAGGATCCCGTTTCCGAATGGGACCCCATTGGTATCCCGACCCCATTGGGATCCTGTTTCCAAATGGGACCCAATTAGTTTCCAGATTCCAATCCTGTTTGAAAATGGGACCCTTTTTGGGATCACGACCCCATTGGGATACCGTTTCCAAATGGGACCCCATTAGGATACCAAATTGGGCTCCCGACCTCACTTGGATTCCCAAATCCATTGGGATCCCTTTTCCGAATTGAATACCATATCACAATGAGATCCCAACACCTGTGGGATCCCGACCTTAAATCCGATCCTATGGCTTCCCGTTTCGGTTGATCCCGATCCTGGTGGGATCCCGTTTCCCGGTGGGATCCTCTTCTATCAGGGGATCCCGTTTGCCCTCTTTGATCCCATTACTCGATGGGATCGCGTTACCGGTGGGTTCCATTGAGTCGTTACCTTTTAATTGTGATTTTGTTCCCGGTAGGTTTATGAAGGGCATGTGTAGAGAAAAGCCCCATGAAAGTATAGAAATAAATAGAACTAAACTGACATTTCAATAAGCTTTTAGATACCATCATATATTTTTCGTATAACAATATAGAACTTTCTGGAACATTCTACATTAAAATTAATATCTTCTTTAAAACGTGTAAAAAAAAACCGACTTCTACGTAACTATTTTTCGAAAATAAAAAAGTATACAACTGAATTTCACTACTCGAAATATAAAACATTTAATTTGAAAGAGGTCCCCAGCGGGGGGAGGGGGGCATCCCATAACTGCACCGGGGGGAGGGGGGCATCCCATAACTGCACCGGGGGGAGGGGGGGCATCCCATAACTGCACCGGGGGGAGGGGGGGATCCCATAAGTGCACCGGGGGANCATCCCATAACTGCACCGGGGGGGAAGGGGCATCCCATAACTGCACCGAGGGGAGGGGGGGCATCCCATAACTGCACCGGGGGGAGGGGGCATCCCATAACTGCACCGGGGGGAGGGGGGCATCCCATAACTGCACCGGGGGGAAGGGGGGCATCCCATAACTGCACCGATTTAGCTTTGCCTGAGATAGGGGGGGGCCCTTTAAAAATACGTCAGATAAATAATAAATTAACATCTAAAATTCGGTCCATTATAGTGGGGTTTAAAAATGCCATAAATATAGCCTTTTTAAAATATCAAACTTTCTTTAAAATTTTGAGCGGCCCTGAATGCATTGGATATTATTAGTTTTAAATCCACCGATATTACAATACGGACAATGAAGGGTATAGCTACCACGCTAGGCCTCCATGAATTCACATAGAAACCACAGTGTTGTCTAAGCCTATTGAGATTATATAGCTTATATAAGGAAAAATGAAATGGGGCCCCCAGCCCCAGAGGGATGGATATTATGAATTCAGTACCCTTCGGTATTTGAATATGGATGATCAAGTGAATGTGTACTAAGTTTGGTCCATCTATTCATGGAGGAGTATTTGTTGTTTAT